CGGATGGGAATAAATGGATGGAAGTTTTTATATGCGTTTGCAAAACAAATGCTGCTCTAATCCATACTTTAGTATTTGACAAATTTTGTTGTTTTTTTATAAATTATTCCGTGGAAGATATACTTAATCTTATCGTGCGTTATTTATAACACAGATGAAGATTGCATATTCTGTATTAGTTGACTTAATCGAAACACATATATCCGTTTGGCCATCCTTGTCCCGTTAATTTTCAAAAATAATTGAATGTGTCTGACCTTTGCACGACTTCTTAAGTCCAAATTTGAAAGAAAATATTTCGATTTTCATGTACCGTTTTCAGTACACGCTATAATGCGTAATTACTAGCATTTCTTTATGCTATGCAATGCTCTTCACAACCCTTTTTGCAACGTGAACCGATAACGCACAGGGGGGGTGGCAATATTTTTACTCTTTTCCATAAATAACAAAAATTTGTATTGAAAATTAAAATATTGGTTTTACTATGGTCAAAAAATGCAATGTCTTATCAAAAACAAAAGCAATCTTTTATAAGCTTGGACACGCTTTGAAATTAGCATAAACACTTTCTGAAGACATTTGTTAGCGGAGGAAGAGAGAAGTCAGAAATCAACAGCAAAGACTGCAATTTCCCAGAAAGGAATGGGTAAAAAATCTTCCCCCTAAAATAGTTGTGAAAAGCAAACCACAATTTTTATTCAATTTACAGGATTTTATGAGTAAATGAAATCCTGCAAGTTACTAACAAATGTTTTTTCACTTCATAAAAGTGGTCGGCCCCTGACATTACATCATCTTGGTTGATGTCAACATGTAACCCGCAAATAAATTGGCATAAGAGAAAAATCAGCAAAACTCAGCATCCTTGTAACTGTATTATATTGTTAAGCGAATCTAACTAATTCTACCTGTTTTGGTTTCATATTTTCATAAATTACTACAAGTATATAACTACCTCCAATCAACTCGATAAGTGATGCGTAAAACCCAATAGGAACTTGCATGTATTTTAATCAGCTGATGAAGAACGGCGTGGAGCACCAAAGTAGTTCGACGACAATGAATTGGAAGACTTACTGCACGAAAACACAGCTCATTGTCTCAAAGAACTTTCTTTTAGCTTTTAGCTTAGCAGTTGATACTGCTGTCATCCCGCTGTGAAAGATCCCGAAGGAGGAAAAGTGAGTATCATACGAATTAATTGAAAAGGTCATTTCGCACCATATCCACATCGCATCCCATCAGCGGCTGCTAGTCACAATATGCTATGCGATGAAAAATGGATCTACTACGACGACTCCAAGCGCAAAAAGTCTTGGCTTGGTCCAGGCGACACCGAAGCGGAATATTCATGGCCCCAAAGTTTTTCTGTGCATATGGTAGGATCAGCAACGGTGTAGTGTATTACAAGCCGCTAAATCCGTGAAAGTGTTATTGCAGATGCCTACCGATGTGAATTGAACAAGTGGAACGAGGTATTGTTGGAAAAAAGACTAGCAACAGCAGAAAACAGACGCAAAGTCATACTTCTGCACGATAACGCTCGAGCACACGTTGCAAGAGTTGCTACGGATACATTGTTGTAACTCGATAGGCAAGCTTTTCCACATCCACTGTACTTACCAGACATAGCGCCTGCTTCTGATTATCACCTGTTCAGATCCATGCTGCATGGCTTGGCTGGCACACGGTCCCCGAATGTTGAAGCTGTTCGAAACTGAGTCGTTGTTTGGTTCGCTACCAAAGCAATATCGATCCTTCGACACAATAGAAAGATAAAGCAAAATATTTTGATTAATACATTTTGTATCAATTTTTCTCAATATATGCTTTTTTCAAATGAACAAATGATCAAAATTCGCGCAAGCACCTAATAGTACAGGAAAAAGAAAGCAAGCAAGGGTTAGGAGAAAATATTTTAAATTGAATGAGTTTTTCTCTTTTTTTTTTGTACATGTTGTGTACCTTCAAAAAATATTATAAAGCATCTAAAAAGAAAAAATGTGGAAGTTTGTCAGAGTAAAGAAGTCAAGTATAACTTTAAGGCTTGCGACACAGTTTATTTAACTGTCAAAGAAGCAAACTTTTATTCATTAAAAAATTAAACGGCTTAGTTCTCGATGTAGACTTCTAACCATATACTAAATATTTATGCTAAGGAACTTCTTTTTTTTTTTTTAAATAAGTTCGTTAAGAGCACAAACTATTGGGAATTTATTTAAATTAATTATAGGAAAAATTTAACGACACAATTGAAAGATCTAAAACTTAAAAAAAAAAAAAAAATGGAATGCAAATGAGAAAAGGACAGATGATGTGTGCGGATATTTTTTTATAACCATATGGTGATGAAGGACTGGATGGATTGTTGAACTAGCATTTTTCTCTATTTGATTTTCTGTTAAGAAATGGAACCATTGGATGCATTGGATTGAGGAGGCTTATAGTTTATTTGGATTGAACGCTTAAATGTTCTGTTTCGCGGAAAACGGATTCGTTCAATTTCTACGTTTACCTTATATTAATGAATTAGATTTCTAATCAGAGATCGGTCAAATTCAAGTCAGTTAATGTTGTGTCTGAAAATTTATTATCCGAATTTCTCTGGCGCAGACAGAAAATAGTTTTTCTCTTTATAAAATCTTTAAAGAAGAAACTAAACTAGATGACTTTCAGTTGTGCTTGGGGGAAAAAAAACGAATTCCGTGACGTCTTATTCATTAGGTGGCTTCAGAATTTGTGGTGTCACTAAACTTATTAGAGCTTACAATTATAAATTTCAAGAGGCTGACAAACGGAAGGACAGACAGATGCGCCTAGATACGCTCAGCATTTGATTCTGGTCAATCACATATTTAATAGCGCCTCTCCCTCCTGCCTTCTGTGTCTTGGAAAGGTTTTGACAATATAAATATTAGATCATGTTTTTGCTGAATCCACGGTGTAGCCCGGCACTTGTGCTTCCCGGAAACTTAAATTTTCTTTTCTGCAGTGTTCAAAGGAAGCCTTTAAAATCACTTGGTGCGGTCTTTCGACTTGGACTCGGGAAGTTCTACAGTGACGGCAGAATGGTCTTATCAGAAGAATGACGGAGGGTTATCGATCGAATTGTCTTTATGCATACATGTGGTTCAACCCTAACTACAGATTATGTAATTGACCTAAGCCTCTTTCTATGCATCATCGAAGATTTTCATATCAGTGTTGTGTTTTTAGCGCGCAGTATACAGCTTAAGTATACAGCTGTAGCCATAAAATAATAAAACTCCTCAAAAAAAAGTTGCACAAACAAAATAAGTCGCATGACACCGATTGCAAAAATGGAAAGCGTATAAGAAAAACTTACACAAAAGAAAATCTCACAAATTAAATAAGTCTCATAAAACCAGTCGTACAAGTAAAAAGCGGATAAATAAAATAAATCGCATAAAACCTATCGCGCAAATAAAAGACACATAAAAAAACTACTTAAAATAAGTCCTATAAAATCAATCATGGAAATAAACAACAAAGAAAAAAACTTTCACAAAATAAGTCGCATGAGACCAATCGTACAAATGAAGGGCGCGTAAAAAACTTGCACAGAACACATCGTACAAACAAAAAGTGCATGGAAAAAGTTGCACAAGCAAAATAAGTTGCATAGAATCATTCGCATAAATAACAATCGCATAAACAAGATAAGTCGCACAAAACCAATCGCACAAATAAAAAGCACATAAAAAAGTTGAATAAACAAAATAAATCGCATAGAGGCGATCACACAAATAAAAAAATATCACACGCAAACTGGTTCAACTATACGTTTATATCGATAATTGAACGTGTACTCATTATAATAAGGAATAAAACTGAGAATACGAGTAAATCGAATATCAAATTATCTGTTAATACATCCAAAATGAGCAGAAAACGATATAATATCGTAGTGTGGTTATGTGAGTTTCAGCCTGAAGAAGTAAATGTAATTTTCTTGTGTGTTGTTAATAATTTGTTGTCAAATACGCTTTGAATATATAATTAAATGTGAATCTGTTATTAAAAAAAATTTCCATTAAATTAATGCAATATATTTTTTTTAACAATTATTGAATTTTGTTTCTTTGCTAAATTCGTGTTATTTATTAAATTATTTAATATATCAAAATTTCTGTAAATTATTGAAAATGTTAACGAAGCTTCAATTAAATGCATTATAATGGGTATTATCCTTTCAAGCACAAATGAATTCAATTACATATTAACGGAAATAACATGTTTTTTTTTAGGTTTTTGTTTTCAACTTTAATGTTATAAAGTTTATATATTTTATTTTTTTCCATTTTTAATGGCTTGTCAACATTAATACCATGAAAATAATAAAATTATAAATAAATAATAATAAACAGTAGAAAGTTGTTTATAAAAAAGTGCACAAACACAAGACATCACTAATTAGACCACATTACACGGCCAAGAAAAATATTTGAAAAAAATGTACATACCACATATATAAATATATATATATATATATATATATATATATATATATATATATAAAATAAACAGACCAGCAAATTAATGAACTAAAAAATTGTAAGCACGTTGTGTGCATATATTTCCTGTGATTATATGTACAATTGTTTAGAAACTGCAGCCAGGTACGTGGCATCAGCATCAATAACAAACAAACAAACGTGCCCGGCAACAAAAAAGCTGTTGATTGTGAATGCAAGTGAAAGTTATGAGGAAAAAAGAAAAGCAGAAAAAAAAATTAAGTAATCAGTAAGCAAAAACAAAACGAAGTTCAAGCAAAGCAAAGCTTTGGAACAATGCAATTAAATTATATTAATAAACAATAACTTTAATTTTATATTTAGATTATTCATTTGATTTATTTATTTTTTTTTTTTTTAATATTGTTTGCGTTATTAACATAAATTAAATAAGATTAAAAAAGAAGCCTTCTGATGCATTATTAATAAATAAATTTTATTTTCAGTTAAAAATTAAAATTGTAAGTAAATGCTGCATAATAAGTAATGAATTAATCGCCAAATAGTTTGATACTCTGGCTATTTGCTGATAACAAATAAACCAAATGTTAATGGGTCATAGTCCATCATTAAATATCTTACACCACCCTACAGTTACTCGTATCTGAACCGTTTTCATAAGCCTTCGACCTTGGCCCAAAATCCAGCTCTATATTAAATTTTATCAAAACATCGCAGAAGTTGCGGTCTGCAGATTGAACATAAGAACGTTTAGTCGGGCAGATGGACAGAGGAGATTCGATAGACTTCAAGTGGTTCTGGGTGCTGCATAATATATCCTTGTACCACAAGTGGTATATGGTATAATAATAATTTATGATCAATAAAGTTAGATGAGAAAGAAATGGTAAAAAATAGAAGAAAGCGAAACGATAACGAATATGGATTGATGGATAATAAAAAAAGATAAATGGATAAACAAAATTTAGCTAGTGAAAAATCGGTTAAGCGATTAACTTATGATGGCGAATAATAACCACTGAGCCGAAAGTCTTAGAAAGCTTTAGTGGTTCAAGACTGTAGGCTTTACTAATAGTAATAACAACGGATAATGATAATGTTGCATAATAAGGAAAAGCATAACGGATAAGCAAATGATATACGTAAAGCCATTATGGATAACTGAAATAGTTGATTACCACATACCACAGCATTTAGCTAAAAGATTATCCGTAAATGAATTAGGAAATAATTGATATACGGATCATGAATAACTGAAAATTAAAAAAATAGTATAATGCTAAAAGAACCCTTGATCACTGTGCACTACAACCTCTTTCAACCAAATGTAGCAATCACTGCGAATCTAGTATTAAATTAAAAAAAAATGAAGCTTCTCTGAATAACAGATAGACCAATGGATAATAAAAAATTGAATAAAAGATAAATGGATAAGTGGATAAACAAAAACTGGATAATGACTTACCCGACAAGGGATCAACTTATGATAGATAAAAATAATGTTGCGTACCGGATAAGCAAATATTATATAAAGACACTATGAGTATGACACACAACTGTAGAAGCAGTTGCTTAAGAGATAATACCTAAGCGAATTAAGGACTAATGGATAACTTGATAATAAATAGGCGGATAATGGATGAAATGTTCACGTATATGGTTACAATATAGAGGTACATACTATGTATCTGGATAATGAATAACTATACAGAGGGAGGTCCATTAATGGATAACTGATAATAGATAACTGAACAAAAGGCGCAGAGATTGCGACTAACCAAACTGATGTGAGAGTAAATAACGGATACTTTAGGAACCTATATAGTATATTAATAAAGGCAAAGTGACTTAAATATTTCACATTACTCAGTAAACAACTAAGGAAACTACTGCGTTTAAAAGACTGTCGAAAAATTCTCTTTTAGCAAAAAAACAAGAAAAAACTTTCGAAACAAATATTTGACTTTCATTGTCAGAAAAGTGCTATCACACAAAAGTATATTTATGCTTTCGTCTTTTCTGAGTTCGACGGGACGATTACTAAAGTTTAAATATAAAAGTATAATCTATCACAAGTTTTTGTTTTATTAATTTTATTAAACTGAATATATTGCATGCATGCAGCAATCCGCTGTTCTTAACGAGAAAGAGAACGTAAAGCGATACTGTTGGGTGCTGATTATAAAAGTATGACTATTTCAAGTGGAAGTCCTATCTGGAAGCAATACGAAACTGTGTAAGTTATCACATTAAAGCGTACATAAAATAGTGTCGGGAGGCTTTGATTAGGTTCAGTTCAGTGCCAAAAACATTACCATTTCTTCACTTTTCCTACTCAATACGACGGTTAGTGGTGTTAAACCCTTATGAGTGATAGACAAAGGAGGCGTCATAAGTAAAAATGATACAAAGTAAGTGAATATTGCAAGCGGTTCAAGTAAGGAGGCGTGTGAGGGGAGGCTGGACGTGATGCTTTACAGTTTGTTGCAACCAAGAGAAGCAATCATCAAGGAACTCGTTCAATTTTCTGATATGTCTAGGGGTTATTGTCAAAAGCATGGCCTTATGGGGAAAGAAAGTCTATTTTTTAGCTTCTTTATTGTCGAACAGTGAAAAGTAATAAAATTTTTAGGAATTAAATGACGTTTACTATATTTGGATTACGCCACGCGATACCTTAGTAACCCTCCAATATGCGGGCTTTCATAAAAATGATGCCTTCGTATGAAAATAATGTGTAATTTTTCGTGTATTACTACCAGAACGAATGAATAGGCGAAGTGGTGTAGGGTATCTCGCTGTCCCCATTACCAAAACGAATGAATGACTTTACAAGGCGCAGTGACATAGGGTATTTAAATTCGGCGTTACCCGACTGTAATGTCCTTACGTCGTTGATCATATTTTTAAATTTTTGTCACCATAATGTTGAATTCCATAAAACTTGAAGTTAAGTTCCGCTTGCCTTTATCTGTAAATTTGGCACGAAATTTCGTAATAAAATTTTCATCGTAAAATTTTACACCTTAAGACTTGGTTTCGAAACAACACGGAACGAATTAATCGGGTTAAGCGGGGGATGTCTGTACATAAATACACATATACACTATAATAAAAAATTATATGTATACTTAGTGTCTATATATATATTATTGTATAGATATTTGTATATGTGTATCGCTATGTATATGTATATAGCCAGGTGGAGCATCTTAATAAGTTACATACAGCAAGATATTACCTTTACCGCTGTATGATGAAGGAGCTTAAGCAATAAATACTGTGTTTTATACTTTTACATATATAAGCGCAGTATCCTCTACGGTATCATTAGTTACAATCATACACTTTCAAGAGCATACACAAACTGTAAACGATAAAATATTTTATAATTTGTATTAAAAAAAAAAAACACAAAAAAGAAAACAGGATAAAAAAGAGTACCACCGTAAAAAGCTACGCGTCAGCAAGGTAAAAAGAAGGTAAAACCAAAGCACAGCATTTTTTCGTTATCTCTCATAAATACACAATAGCTACAAAGCTAAAGAAATTGATGACAAGGAATTTCATAATAATACCGTAAAAAAAAAAAAAAAAAAAAAAAAAATTAAAAATTTTTATAGGAAAATAGTGGCAAAAGAAAAATTTTTTTCTGATATCAATGTAAAAACTAAAAAAAGAAAGAAATATAGAAAGACGTAATAAATAAATTTAAGTGAAGTTCAAACTACTTAAAGCGTTGATACGATTTCGCAAAAAATTTATATGATTTTTTCAAATTCGAACACGAATGGAAGCAATAGCCTTCTATTTGTATCAGAATTTTTGCTGCGGAGCCAATGTGCGATGGGGCTTTGAAACTATAAAAATTTGTTTTATTTTAGGCTGCTATGTATTTAAACTCTTCTGTAATAAAAGATATGTGTCATCTAGACATTTATGGTCAAGAGAATGGAAAAAAAATCCCAATAGGTCAAGCTGACGATATGTCCTTACGACACCGGGATTCTTATATTGCAATGAAGCCTTTGTTGTACGACCATTAGATATGCTACACTTTCTTACAGTTATCTATGTAACGACTTCTCAAAGTAAGGCCTTATGTTAGGAGTGGTCGAAAGACTTGTCCAATTTGAGTCACTTTTAATAGTGTTCCACTCACCAGCGCGCTGATTTTCATCGAAATATGTCAAAAATTACGGTTAGCAGGTTGAACACAATAACACAATACGGCCGGACGGACAGACAGACTTAAATCGACTTAGAAAGTGATTCTCAGTTGTATGGATAGTCTTTGTAATGTAAACCGTTAAGACTAGACGTGATTTGTCTGAATTTATTTGGCACTTCAATATCCCTAAACCCTAAAGGTTGGCCTCGGCTTATCAAAACGATTCAGACAAATCACATCTTGTCATAGCAGTTTTTCCTCATTTCATCATTATCGACTTCAAATTTATCCCAAACATTGCCAGCTCTTGCAAGTAGGTTGATATTGGAAATGGCCAAAGTCGGTCGAAGGACACGCCTACAGTACCGTATAAATTAAGAATAACTAATTTTTTCAAAAAATATAAAAGCCTGCTTTTTTACTGATTACTCATAAACTACGTCCGATAAATCTACAAAAATTTGAACGTATATTGTGCTTGTACGAGAATGGGAAAAATTAACCACGCCTGCTTAATATTATAATCTATTAAAATTTACTTCTTTCTTCAATAGTTTTATAACCGGAAGCAAACTGCAAAAACACCGCAAGGGATATAAATTTTTCGTCGATTGCAGCTATGGAACACACAAACGTGTCCGTCTATCCGTCTGTTCATCTGCCCAACTGTATAGCACCTGTGATAACCACTATCTCATTCGAAAATATGAAAAACATTTTAAACATGGCCCAAACAACGCCTACAACGCCTTTATGTCTATAAAACGAAAGCTGGAAACACCTCCGCTTTCCACGGGTTTTGCGCATTACTTGTAAATCAAAACAATACACGATACAAATGATCATTTGTATTCTAAAAGACAAAAAAAGTCAGTCGCGCTCGTTGCTAGGTCGTTTATAGAGTAAGGCAATTTATTCCGATGCAGGTAGGCAAAATCCATTCCTCATATTTACCCCCTGTAAGTAACCGAAACAAAGGAGTTTTTGTTTTCATTATATAGGTGAGGATTCAGTTCATCTTCCGAAAAGTCTTTCAGATTGTGCATGCTACATTCAACTGTTTTACTTAACTTCTGGAATGGAGGATTGAAACGTGCCTACTCAACACATAATGCTTGGGGAATTTAAAGAAGGCAATGGCGCTAAGGCGACAGCTGAAAATATATGCAGCGTATACGGTGAAGGACTGATAACTGATTGGGCAGTTAGAAATTGTTTTGTAAAATTTCATTCTGGAGATACAATCTTAATAAACGGGATGTCCTTCCGAATTTGACTACAACCTTTTAAAGGCAATGCTGGAGCGAAATCCATGGCAATAAGCAAGAGGTATAGCGAAAACATTGAAGAGCTCTCAATCAACCCTCGAGTTAGTATAATTTTGGTATTGAATGAAAGGGAAATAAATGTCTGATAAAAAAACGGAAGTTACCTATGACTCATCTAATTAGTTCCTTCGCTGACTTTTTATTCTTTCTTAGGATAACAGCGATGGGGTATAAAAGATTCGTTGATAATTAAATATAAATTTCTTACCTTACCTTAGTGGATACAAAGAGTATTACTCGGTAAATCGACCTATTAGCATGAATTATTACTAAGTACGTGGGCAAAACCTAACCCTACCTAGAAAACCTATTGTGCACGGATTTGCATGAATCCCGCCACCTTCTTTGGATCGTAGCACTGTGCCGTGTTCAGCGTTGTAAAATGCACGCCAAACACTTGATGCCTAATTTCACATTCATATAGAATATGAGGAGGCGTTTCACTCGTCTGTTGGCGGAATCTGCATGAACCGTTATTAAAACATGCCCATGTTCTTCAGATGGTAGCTGAGGGAATTATGGCTCGTGTAGAAGCCGGTAACTAAACGTAGGTCGCTTCTTCTTACCTCCACCAGTCTATGTTCGTTACCGCAAGATTTTATCTTCTTCCCTGGCGCTGTCCTGCACATTGCCTTCAACGGTAAACCGCTTTATTCTGTGCCCATTGCGAACCAGCCTATTAATGTGGCTTCTTGGGACACCTAACGACCTATGGCCTTCTGAAAACTCGGGTAGCTATCCTCAATCCCAGTTTTCCCATTCTTCAATTTTGGAACGTCGTTGTACCATTTCCTTGAATCCACCAAGAGCTCAAAAGTACACCGTCCCAGCCCGATCTCGGCGATATGGTCACCCTGAACCGATGAGACAGTACTACTAGCTTTACAGCACCTTTACCTTTCTTGACGAAAGGTTCGTCCATGAAATTTTTCAATACCTCTACGCGTCTCTTGAAATATTAGCATGACTACTACGCCCATGAAAAAAATAAATAAATAAAATAAAATCGTTTATGCCCATCGTCTTCCGAGACTAATGTCAAAGTGAGCATAACTCTCGCAATTGTTGCTTTCAAAAAAAGTTTTCTTTTGAATATAAACCGCAAAATTTTAGCAATCATTTAACATAAACTAATATTAGCAAAAGTAAAGAGCCCTCTAACAAATTTTCATACAAAATTTTCAAAACATGTCAAAAAAGAAGGAAGAAGCAAGAAGAAGATGAACGTCGGTAGAGATGTATAATTTCTTCTTTTGTTTTTAACGGCTATCGATGCTCAGTGAGTGAATTAAGGAAATGAACCGTAACGAAAATATTTTTTTTATATCTTCTTCTTTACACACGTTTCTCTTTATGATGATTAAATTTATTTTAGTCAATTATTTTCTATTTTTTTTATTGTTATTATTTTCCTTTTTCTCATTTTCTAATATATTTTCCATTTTAGTTATTCTCATTAATAAATCCTTAAATATAAACTCTTGTTTTGTATTAATAACATTTTGTTGATAAATTTTGGGTAAATGTATAAATTTTGTTGCTAATCTCTTGCGGACAACAGTAATTTATTTAACACCTATTTTGTTGTTGTATTCCTCAATCACAAATAGAAGATAATTTCTATTTTCACATTATAAATTATATGAGTTTTGCTAAATGATTTAATTATTAAATCAAAATTTTTGAAAACAAACAAACGCAATAACAAGAACATGAACAACATGATATAAATAAATA